GCTTGGATTTATTGCTCAAGGAAAAGCAATTGCATTATTGCGTGGAAAAGGAGCTAGATACTTTATTGGCTGCTGAAACAGCTACAGATAAAAAGGCGAAAATCAAGGCGGACGAAGCAAAATGCCAGAGCGTTTTAGCACAGACAATAAATGATGAACAGTTAACGCATGTGATGGACAAAACAACGGCGAAAGGAATGTACGATGCATTGATTGCTATGTTTCAGCGAAAAAGTGTGACGAGCCAGTTCATATTGCGTAGAAAGTTGTATTCGATGAAATTTCATGGCGGTGACATCAGTAATTATTTGATGGATTTTGAGAATACTGTCCGTGACTTGAAATTAGCTGGCGGAAAATTGGAAGATTTGGATTTGGTGATTACTTTACTGTTGACTCTTCCGAAGAGCTACAACCCGTTGGTAAAATCATTGGAATCAATGGACGAAAACAAATTGACTTTACAATATGTAAAGGGCCGCTTGCTTGACGAATCGACTATGTTGAACAACGGTGCAACACAACCGAAAACTGAGGAGGCATGTGCTATGCAAGGCAAGGCATCGAACATCACTTGTTTTAAGTGTGGTAGAAATGGACATAAGAAATCCCAATGTTTTTCAAAAACCCACATTAAATCGAAGAAAAATCCATCGAAAAAGGAGTCAAGTGCCAACAACGCATCAAATGATGGAAAAGACGGCAATTTATTGTGCGCAATTCGTGATGATGAAATTGAGGCGTTTGCAATGAAATCAAGTGTCAGCAAAAATGGCAACGAGAACAACAACAGCAGTATTGCGTTGAATAGCGGTGAAACGTCGACAGCGTGCAAAAGTACAGTCAAACAGGCACATGCATTGAAAACGAATAGTGATGACGCATCAAACATTTCTTTTGTGATGGATTCGGGCGCAACGGATCATATGGCGAATAATAAAGACTATTTTGATGATTTGAAGGGCATCGATGAAATTAATATTTCTACAGCGAAGAAAAACGAAAAGGTTTGTGCGAAAGAGATGGGCAACATTTCGATTCAAACAATGTACAACGGCGACTCATCAATTAAAACGATGGAAAATGTTTTATATTCGAAAGGTTTGAAATGCAATCTCATGTCGATAAGAAGCCTAACCAAAAAGGGTTTCAAGATTGTGTTCGAAGGTGATGAGGCTGTGGTTTCGTTTCGTGGAGAAACAAAATTCGTAGCGCATGCGAATTCAAATTTATATACAGTCGATTTCAAAGTCAAGCGTGATGCATTTGCTGGATTCCCAGGTGAGGACAATTTGAAGTCAGTCTCACAGGATTTGTGGCACTATCGCTTGGCGCATCTAAATGTTTTTGACATGAGAAAGATGGTAAACAAAGAAATGGTTGACGGCATGGATAAAATTGATGTGAATACAGATGAAAGATTCTGTGAACCGTGCGTAATGGGTAAGCATACACGTTTTCCATTCAAAAGGCGACATGTTGCACGATCATCTCGTATTTTGGAATTGATACACACCGATGTGTGTGGGCCAATGTCGCAGCCGGCGTATGATGGTGCACGATACTTCGTGACATTTACGGATGATTTTTCGAGAGCATCAATGATATACACCATGAAGACGAAGGATGAGGCGTTTGATAAATTCAAAGAATTTAAAGCAAGCTGATACATTCCTTGGCATGCACATTTCACATGATCGCGAAAACGGAATTATCCAGCTGAGTCAATCGCATTACTTAAAAAATGTTGTTCGAAAGTTTGGAATGACAGAATGCAAACCGATATCAACACCGATCGAAAAGGGGCTACATTTGCCAGCTGAAAAGGGAAACATGAATTCAAATGTACCGTATCGTGAGTTAATTGGATGTTTGACATACGCTACATTGACAACGAGACCAGATTTGTGTGCGGCTACAAACTGCTTCAGTCGTTTCCAGAGCTGCTACACAAAGGAACATTTTACGCATGCGAAGCGCATTCTTCGTTACTTACAAGCTACAGGCGATTTGAAGCTTGAATATCGTAAAGACGAAAAGGCCAAAATTTTGGTTGGTTATGCCGATTCAGACTGGGCGGGCGATAGGAATGACTCAAAATCAACTTCCGGATATGTTTTCAAGCTATTTGGTAACACTATCAGTTGGGGAACTCACAAACAAAATACAGTGAGTCAATCGTCGACAGAAGCGGAATACGCCGCGTTGGCAGAGACGATCAACGAAGCAGTATGGATCAAAGAGCTGATTGGTGAATTGGGAATTGAAATCAAACATGCAATCACCATTCATGAAGATAATCAATCAACAATCAATGCGGCACAAGAGCCAAGGAACCATAAACGCATGAAACATATTGCGGTTAAGTTCAACTATGTTCGTGACACCATAAACAAGGAAATCATTCAACTGAAATACATTCCGACGGGCGAACAAATTGCAGACATAATGACGAAGGGACTTGGAAGAATTCAATTTGTTAAATTACGCTCTGATTTAAATTTAGTTTAATTTCTGATTTATTTTGATTTGAATTACTTGATCTCGTTCGTTGAAAAATTAATTTTTGTAATTTCATTTGCCAAAAAATTTAACGTAAAATTTATATTTCATTATTAAATTGAGGAGAGGTGTTGAACGAACAATTTGAATAATGATTAGCAGCCACTTTATGTA